ACTATTGCCAGCCACGTGAGCTGGAGCAGTTTGCGCGTTGTTTCCTCCTTATCATAACTGCCGCTGTGAAAGTGAACATTGTGCGCCTGTTCACTTGCCAGGGACCTCGGTTGCTTGCTTGTCTAGTATCTAATGCGTAAGCAACAGTTCAGCCGCTCCTAGGTAGGAAAGGACCCTGCATGGGTTCTAACTGCATGACGTGGAGATACGTCCAACCCGACGACACGTCCGCGCTGTGAGCGCGGTCGGATGGGCCGAGAACAGCCCAACCGCAGCCTCTGCGGTTACAGCCGTCACGCCATCAGACCGTGTGAATTTCGCCGAAGACAGACTGTGTGGTCCGCTGCCCGTCTCGGCGGACCGACCGGTCGCCGTCGCCTCGCCTTGACACGCCGGCTGGCGCTCTGATTCGGTGGCCTGATTGGCTGACGCTCTGATTCGGCGGGACGGGCGCCGCCACTCGACAAAAGCCGCAAACATTCCGCAATCGGCTCGCGCAAGCATGAATCATCCAATCGTTTGCCGACGGCGGCCGCTGCCGCCTGCAGCCGGCTCAGTTTTCCACGCGGCCTCTCGGCGTGGGAGACTTGGCGTAATTGCTGTCATCACGCGGCCGGATTACAGCCGCCGGACTCCAGCGGACCTTGACACATATAATCAGACAATTGATGTTGTTTTGAACGTGAACGTCGCCCTTTATAAATTGTTGGCTTTGTAAATGCGTTTCGGTTCATGAAACCAAGGCAGCCGTCTGTCGGTGTTTTTTTTTTTGTCTTTAAGGTGAATTGCCAGCGACGGTGACAGATAACTATGGCATTGAGGTTGGTTTCGTAGCACAATCACCTGCCACGGACCTTGGTCATATCACCAGTGTGGTACCATGACGTGCGCTGACAACCAATCATCTTCGACGCATGATGGAGACCAGGACAGCCGTCCTTGGGTCAGCTTGATCCCAGTAGTTCTTTCCCTCATTCATTCTTGGTTCAAGCTCCAACTCTTCGCTCATTTTCAGCTTGAGAGTTGCGCATGGCTTATCGTCATGCATCATTCCCATGAAATGTATCCCGCCTGCGGCAATCAGGGTGAGTGCTAAAATTGGCGGTTTCATAAGTCGCGATGATCTGCAAATGGAGTATGACGGAATGAAACACACAGCCACCATGCAGTAAGGCGGCATATGAATGTGTCTCAGGTACATTTAATTTCGCCGCGCCCTGCACCACAGTCGATATCGTTGGTGTGATCAAAATGTCATTTTCAATTGTTGAAATGCTGAAATGGAGCATGGCTCGTTACGCGACAACACTACTTTGTCGGTTAAGAGTATTCGTGTCGGATTTGTAACGGCAAATGCCATTAGGCTCTCCTCCGGCACCACCAGCTATGACAGTGATGTCCGCTGTTGCTTAATCCGGCTCCGACAGCCAGCCTCTCGATTGATGTGCACTCAAAAACGGCTTGTAATGCAGACTGAAATAAAATTGCCAAGCATACCAACGTGCTCGTCTATCGTTTAAATCATAACGCTGCATCTTAGTAAGACTACTTTTGCATGGAACGCCTGTATTGTAGGCAGTGACGTTGCTGGGATAGGGCGATTCAGAAAAAAATGCATGCCAAACCATCACTTGTTACTAGGCAGCCCCTACCGGCCCTCCTCAAGTTTTCCGCCATGCACGGACCAGTTTGTGGTCGTGGTGCTCGTTTCTGCAGCATATAAAATAACTGAGTAGCCAGCTACAGCTTATTCCCTGAGCGCTGAGCGAGATACCTGTAAGTGGTCTGAAAAAACATCAATTTCATATGTTTATTCTTCCGCACAACTCGTCTCACCGTCCTGTCACATCATCAACATCCCGCCGAACAAGCTTCCAAACCTGCACCGATCTCAGGTGTCCTCCTTTGGATGTCACGGGGCCACCTGCCCTGCTGTACACCCTGCAGCGGTTCCAAAGACTGCAAACTGTCCGGCGGCAATCCATGTTCGCCTGCTGTCGCAGGTAACCACTCTACTGCGTGTCTTTTGTGACGGTTCAGCAGCTGCGAAAGTCGCGGTTCGTTCGCACCTGCTATTACGGGTGGGAATGCTGCTGTGTCGTGTCTGACGGCGGTCTGCTGGCAGCTGCTGTTTTGGCTGGCCACGCTGCTGTGTCGTGCCTGACGGCGGTCTGTTCGCAGCTGCTGTTTCGGGCGGCCACGCTGCTGTGTCGTGCCTGACGGCGGTCTGTTCGCAGCTGCTGTTTCGGGCGGCCACGCTGCTGTGTCGTGCCTGACGGCGGTTTGTTCGCAGCTGCTGTTTCGGGTGGCCATGCTGCTGGCGGCGGTCGGCCGGCTGGCGGCTCAGGGCGCCACCGCCGATCCAGAGGACGAGCTGCTGACATCGGTTGGACGGCCACGCTACGGCGCCCGGCTGCCGCAGTCCACGACCGAGCCGCCGGCGCGCGCCGCGCCGCTCGTCACGCTCGAGCTCGAGGACGCCTCGGGCGACGGGCCGGACGCCGGTGACGTCACGCCTGGAGGCGGCGACGTCGAGCTGTTCTCGGAACTGGAGAGCGATGGAGCGATGCTGGGACGGCAGCGCGAGGCGGCGGACTCGGCTGGCGAGGCGGAGCCCGAGTCGGTGGATACGGAACTGATGGCGGCGGAGGAGCCTGCTGCCCCCACCGCGGCGCCGGCCGCCGGCCCGCGTGTCACCACCTACTCGCCGCGGGTCCGCTACCGGCCACGGCCTGCTGTGGACCAGAACAGCGTCGATGACGACGAGGAGACGCTGCGTCAGCCTGAGCCGACGCAGCTGGCGCCCGTGCGGGTGTTCTTCGAGCCGGGGCGCTACGAGGGGGAGTTCAGCTTCGGGCAGGTGCGCGAGCCCGAGTGGTACTCGGAAGAGTCGGTGGCGCCGCAGCCGGCGCCTGCGCCCTACCACCGCTACAAGGTCTACTACTCGGCGCCGGCGCCGCAGCCGGCCACGCGGCGGCCGGTGGTGGCGCCGCTTCGTGTATACCACCGGGCGCGGCCGCTGCACCGACCGGCGCCCGCCCACCGGCCGGTGCCCGTCCACCGACCAGCACCCGTCCACCGACCGGCGCCCGTCCACCGACCGGCACCCGTCCACCGCCCGGTACCCCTGCACGAGCAGTACGAGAACCTGGTCCTGCCTGAGCCGGCGGAGTACGGCTGGAGACGCCCGGCAGCTGAGTCCAGCCAGCCCAACCTCGGCGCCGTCGGCTTCCCGCCCATCGGCAGCTTCTACGACAACCTGCACACGGATGTCGACTTCGTGGGCGCGGGGTTCGCGCAGCGCGTGGCGCGCTCGCAGCCGCACCGGCGCTGGCGGCGCTCGCCCAACCTGGCGGCGCTGACGGCCGACTCGACCTTCTTCCGGCCGGAGCCGGTGCACGGCGGGCCGCCGCACCACGCCGGAAAGCTGGCGCTACGCGGCGAACACGCCGCCTCCGGCCGTCGGCTGCACGCCATCGCCAGCGTCCAGGAGATCCCGCCGCCGGCACACCACGGCGCCGGGCACGCGCCGCACCACGCCCCCGCGCACGCGCCGCACCACGCCCCGGTACACGCGCCGCTCCACGCCCCCGCGCACGCGCCGCACCACGCCCCAGCGCACGCGCCGCACCATGCCCCGGCGCACGCGCCGCACCACGTGGCGAAACATGTGCCGCACCACATGCCGAAGCATGTGCCTCACCACACGCCGAAGCACGTACCGCATCACGTGCCGAATCATATGCCCCACCACATGCCACACCGGTCGTCGAAGCACATGCCACATCATAGGCCGAAGTCGTCTCATCACAGCGGGCACGGCTATGGCGTCTACGATGACTACCCGGATCACCACATAGTGAAGGACTATCGGGCGCCCAAGACCGCCTGGGACTACGTGCTGGCAGCTCGCGGTGTGCCAAAGGGGCACCACCTAAAAGCCAAGGGTCACCGCACGCACCATGTCGAGGGAAAGGGAGATATCTTGGTGCCCCATATGGAGTGGGATTACGCTGCTCACGCCAAAGGATACGGCGCAGGAGCCCACAAGCCTAAAGGACACATAGGGTCGGACTACCATGCACCGACGGCTTACAAGGCACCAGATTACCATGAGCCTAGCTATCACGCTCCAGAGCCCAGCTATCATAAGCCCAAACCCGCGTACCACGCTCCAGAGCCCGAGTATCACGCCCCCAAAACGGGGTACAAAGCTCCCGCACCGGCGTATCACGAGCCGGATTACTACGAGCCTGTTCCTGAGCCAGAGTACAGCGCGCCGAGCTACAAGGCTCCCGAATACCACGAGCCAGAGTATCACGCCCCTAGCCCCGCCTACGCTGCTCCTGACTATCACGAACCCGAGTATCACGCTCCTGAGCCGGAGTATCATGCTCCAAAACCCGACTACCATGCTCCCGAGCCTGAGTACCATGCTCCGAAACCCGAGTACCATGCTCCTGAGCCGGAGTACCATGCTCCGAAACCCGATTATCATGCCCCCGAACCTGAGTATCACGCTCCTAAACCTGACTATCACGCTCCTGAACCTGAATATCACGCTCCTAAACCTAAGTATCACGCCCCTGAGCCCGAGTATCATGCTCCAAAATCTGAGTATCACGCCCCTGAGCCGGAGTACCATGCACCGAAACCCGAATATCACGCTCCTAAAGCCGAGTATCACGCCTCTGAGCCTGAGTACCATGCTCCAGAACCTGAGTATCACGCACCTGAACCTGAGTACCATGCTCCAAAACCTGAGTACCATGCTCCTGAGCCTGAGTACCACGCTCCAAAACCCGAATATCACGCCCCTGAGCCTGAGTACCATGCACCAAAGCCTGAGTATCACGCCCCAGAGCCTGAGTATCATGCACCGGAACCCAATTATCACGCTCCTAAACCCGAGTATCACGCCCCTGAACCTGATTACCATGCTCCGAAACCCGAGTATCACTCTCCTGAGCCGGAGTACCATGCTCCAAAACCCGAGTATCATGCCCCCGAGCCTGAATATCACGCCCCTGAACCTGACTATCACGCTCCTGAACCTGAATATCACGCTCCTAAACCTGATTACCACGCTCCTGAACCTGAATATCACGCTCCTGAACCGGAGTATCACGCTCCGAAACCTGAGTATCACGCTCCAGAACCAGAATACCATGCTCCGAAACCTGAGTATCACGCCCCCAAGCCCGACTACAAGGCCCCGGAGCCAGCGTACCACGCACCCAAGCCCGAATACAAGGCCCCGGAGCCAGCGTACCACGCACCCAAGCCCGACTACAAGGCCCCGGAGCCAGCAGTACCACGCACCCAAGCCCGACTACAAGGCCCCGGAGCCAGCGTACCACGCACCCAAGCCCGACTACAAGGCCCCGGAGCCAGCATACCACGCCCCCAAGCCCGACTACAAGGCCCCGGAGCCAGCATACCACGCACCCAAGCCCGACTACAAGGCCCCGGAGCCAGTGTACCACGCACCCAAGCCCGACTACAAGGCCCCGGAGCCAGCATACCACGCCCCCAAGTCCGGCTACGCGGCGCCAGTGTATGCGCCAAGTCGCAGCTACTTGGGCCCGGTGGCGCACAAGGCCAAGCACGCGCCCGCCCTGCCCAAGCACGTCACGTACGAAGGGCCAGACGACCATAAGTACGTGCCTCCCACGTACGAGGCGACCAAGAAGCCGGCGTCCGGCTACGAGATTGAGTACATGCCGTACAAGTCGCCGGCGCCGATGCCGTACGCCGACGGGGCGCTGCCACTCAAGGGCTCCTGGGGCTTCGCGCACGGCCTCAAGAGCCAGCTGGGCTACGTGTCGGACGCAGCGAGCACGGCAAGCTACGGCCATGCGGGCGTGCACGGCCGCAGTCCGACCGTGCGGCCGGCGTACGCGCCCGGCCACTACCTGCCCGGCCTGCTGGCGACGCCGCACTTTAACGGAAGGCCCAGCTCTGCGGTGAGTGCTCCCCTCGGCGCGGTCGGTTCCGCGGGTAGGCTCACTGGCGCCTCGGTGAGTGTTTCCTCGGCGGGGTCGGCTTCGCGCGGGGAGGTACAGGCGCCCGGCGGCGCGGCGAACGGATAGGTCTGATCACGCTCACGGGGACACTTCGTGTCCCTGTTGCTGAGACGCACAGATTGCCTACACGCGAGAACACTTGTACCCCTGCCGTATGCAGGCACACAGAAAGACATTCGTACAGCAAGGAACAATGGCAGGCCGTTCAGAAACGCTCACTCGGAGAAACGCGCGCAGCGATGCGCAGAACAGCGCACCACGTGCGTGAATGCCCCCGAGTATGTACGCACAAATTATAGCGAGACACACGGGCTCGCGCTCACGGGCACAGGACCGACCGGTGGCGCCCCAGCTCGTCCAACCGGTCTTGTTGTGGCCGCCCTCAGCCAGCCGGCTCTCCCACGTCGTCCGGCGGTGCTCGCGCTACCGACCGGCGCGCGCCATGCGCTCGTCACACGACGAGAGCGGTACCACAGCCCAGCTATACAGAGCGCCCGCCCGCCCCCGTGCCATGTTGCGGGCTCGAGGCTGGATGCTGGGCTGGCGTCACGCCGTCCCCAACCACAATCGGCGCCGGAAATGGCTCGTTGAAGACCGCAGATGTGATGCGCACCCTGAAATGGCCGTCACGGGCGACTGGCATAGGCGACACGGCCGACGTAACGGCGTCGCACGCGACGGGTCATTGGCGGGCGCGTGCGACCGCTGAGGTCATCACCGTCGGTGCATCCCGCGCCGCCCGTCACGCTCTCGCGCGTGACGCGCATCCCGTCACGCCTGTCAATCAGCGCCGTGTTCATTAGTTTGCGGCGATGACGCCATGGGAGGTGTATGGTGTCAGCACGTGTCCACACATTCAGCTGTCCGGCGCGTCATTCATTAGAAGCCGCGCCAATCGCCGTAAGACGCATTAGTCACACGCTGTTCCAGGCGCGCGCGGTGCATCCTCCACGGGCTTGTTCTTGCCACACTAGAGCAATGGCGTGAAGAGAACACGCACGGTCTCCTCCCGCCTAGCGCGCTCATGATGTGTGCACTGTGTGTCAGTTGACACTCATTGTAATGCATCATTGACGTCAATCGGCACTTTGCACACATTACTTGGTCTCACTACAGTAAATGTTGTGTAATCCTTGTGTCTGTTTCGGTGCAGCTATGCAAAAGTTGCGCAGTGTTTTGGCTCAGCTTTTCAGATTCGCTCTTGTCTGGTCCCATCTTGTTCTCATATCGTCATCCCAGTTTCGACTCCTGAAGCTAGCCGAACTGTAGTTTTGGGGCTTGCAGACGAACTTTCCAAGTGTGCATGCCGATTCCCTAGAACTTACCACGCATCCTTTAGCATGTCGCTTTTTGTTGGATAGTGCGGAAAATGCCGAACTATCTGTAACTGCTATGCTAAATTATACTTTTGAGTTTATAAACACTCATTTCATATCCACAGCTCAAACTTCACACTCGCATGTATCTTATGACTAAAGCATGTGCATTCCTGCAGTGTTCAAGCTACTATTTTGCAAAGAATGGAGTAAAAGGTTCATGGTTACAACTAAAGTATGTTTAGACATGTACCCAAAATAAAACAAAACTATGGCTGTTGACCCTCATGGCTTAGCAGGGGAAAGACGATGCCGACTAAATCCACTATCATTTGCATGTTTACCACCATTCCCATCTTCCCTTCGTTTGCTAATTCCGAATTTGCGTGCAAAGGGAAACCGGATTTGCGTGTAAAGGCTTCAAGGTGACACGCGTAGCCTTCGCGTCTTTTCCACCCTGCACAGGGCCCTCGCGCGCGACGATGAGTGCCGTGTTGATCGCACAGCGGCCGGTGATGGGGTGGCGCACCCCTGCATGACCTTGTCTGCCCTCCTTCTGATACAGGTCTACCTGTTCATCCCGACAGCACATTAGAGCGGCGTACGGCTATCCGCCGCCGCCGCCGGGCGGCTACGGCCCGTGGTGGACGCGCCTGGGCCGGCTCATCGGCACCGACCTGGTCGTCAGGAACTACCGGGCGCCGCCCATCGCCAAACAGGCCGCGCCCGGTCACCGCTAGGTGGCAGGGCGGGCGCGGCGGCCAGCCGAGCCTCGAGGGATTGACTGTGGTCGACGGGTGATTGTGTCTTTCAAGCTAGCGAGCGGGGCGGTGTCAGCCAGTGAAGCATTACCACGCCGTGTAATATTTAAAGCTCTTTGAAGCGGACGGTCGTATGGTTTGCTTGTCATTACAACATACGGATCTAATATGAGTGTTAACTTAAGCAAGTATGACTTCTCTTTCGCGTGTATGACGCTGAGTATTTTGGCAAGCTAGTCTACGAAATATGTGCGGCTTATTTTCCTAGAAATGTTATACAATACACGAATCTAACTGTGCGACAATGCCGTGGGCTTTAATTACTGAATTCCATTGACAAAAATCTAATGAAAACACGACTCAACATGGGAAGAAAACGAAGCTGAAAACTTCGGCGTCCCCGGACACGCGCCGTTCGCGGTTGGCGGTTCTAGCCGGGCATGTCATGGAAAGCCGGCCGATGCCAGAGAGCTGGTCAGGAGCTGCCGAGCACGGCCGATCGCCACAGGGTCGTGCAGGGTCACCACCAGGTACGCTGTCATTGTTCCCCTGGCTGCGGCGGCAGTGCCGCGACGAGCCGGACCGGCACTGACATGGGTGAATGGCAGGGACTTTCTGTGTGCCGACCATTGTGTGGGTGATTCACGGTCTGCTGACCGTTGCCATTCAACCAGTGGTGGTATTCGTTGCCGGTCGTAACCGTTCACCAGCCAATCACGTTTTTCATATTTTGACGAGTTGCATCGGTCAGCTTTGACCAATGTGGGCAAGGGTGATAAGGTCAGCTCGCCACAGGGGCGTGGGTTGCGACGGCACTGACAGCAAGGCTGGTGCACTTTTAGTTCCGATCCAAAAGCATTTCAGTGCTTCCTTCCACGTTCACACACTGAGGAGGGTGCAACACACACACTGAGAAGAAGAAGAGAAGAAGAAGAAGAACACACTGAGAAGGCGTGGTTGAATGTATAGTCGAAGAGCACGAGAAGTTTGGAGCATTAGTGACAACCTTTGAGAGGATTTACGAGGATGAAACAAACGCAACAAAGGTGCAGCTTAAACTCTCAGGGAAGTACGTTATTTGAGCTACGTCGAAGCCTACACCAAGATGTTTTCTGGGATGTTACTGTGCTGCCGTCGTCCTGATCCTGCCGTAGTTCTGCCGCCCGCTGTTGCCAACTAAGCTCGGTAGACTGACGACCCGAATCGTTCGTTCCTCAACTTCGTTCCTCAACGCGTCATCATTCCTGCGTCGGAAAACGCCTCCCCGCTCGCTGCTCTCGATCGCGCGCTGGTGGAGAGTGGCGCCGTCCCGGCCGGACGCTGACGCGCGGCGGGTGGCGTTCCCACGATGCGGCCCGAGTGGCGCGCCATGTGGCTGACTGGCGCCAACAAAGGCGCCACCCCGCGCGCCGACCGCCGCTCACTTCATCCGGAGCCGCGCTGTGTCTTGCGCAGTGCAAAACAGCGATTACCGAGGGTGACTAACTGTCGTCAGATTACGTCAGCGGCACGCGCGCCAGATCGCGACAGATGGCGCGCCGCCGGCAAGGCTCCGGCCGGCCGACACGTCATCTGCTCCAGATGTGACGTCATCCGAAGCGTCGCAACGAGCGCACGCAGAACGGAACGGGCCAGCATCTGCCCATGCTGCTGTTACTTCTCCCGGACGGATACAGATGGGTACGCACCGAGAGAAGCGCACCGATCAGTTCACGTCATCTGCTACACATTGGGTTCAGTGGCACTGTAACCAGACGAGAGGAAATTTCCCGTGTTAAACGCGAATGGTCAGACTTCCTGGGAGCGAGGGGTGGGGGTTTCGCTCATACACATTCCGTTTCCGCAGCAATATTGACCGATCATAGACCGCAAACAGCAATTGTTTTTTTATAGAGGGGGGGGGGGGGATCAATCGAAACTGCACATTTCTCGTTTGGACTCTTTTAAGGCCGCGTCAGTACCCTACGGCTGTGGGGCAGTTTCAAAGTCGCCGCGTAAATTAACCATTGCCATTGCATCCCCGCCATCAACAGACCGGCGTCCTGGCGACCGCTGATCGCCGCGGTCGATAGACCCCCCCCCCCCCCCCTCCAGAGGTTGGCCGCAGGCGCGCGCACTAACAACACACTATACCACACTGCAACCATCTGACTGGAGGCCTAGGCTCCGAGGCTTAAATTCACTCGACCCTAGACGTTCTCTCATCGTGTCCGTAAGAGCAATGGTGCGTGGAGACATGGGCATTAGGTTGGTCTGACCAAGGTCGCCGCCTTTGAGGTTTTAATGGGAGACTGAGAGATTGACCATGTCTGTTTGGCTTGACACCGTAGCCTACGCAAGTCGACTAAGTAGCCGAGACCAGGCCTCACACAGCGAATACGATGAGAAGTCCATGCGCTTAAGTAAGGTAACTACAGTAAAGTGGCAAACTTAACTTCGGGGAAATTGACCTAAAAAAGAAATAAACTAAAGTAGCAGCTATGTGGTGTATGTGATGCAACGATCCAAAAACAGTTTTCGGCTGCGCTGGGAGAGACATCGCGCCCAGAAATACACAGCTTCGTATCATCAAAACAGCATAGCTCATGCTGGCAGTCAGCAAATGAACCTCTCTGACGATCAAGAGCCGACAATATCAGAACAACAGTAAAAACATCGACGCTATTTATTTCTAAAGTTAGGCACCAATGTCGGCTCGGCGCCGACGAGGGACAGGACAGAAAAGACATGGTCAGCTCATCGGTTACATCACTCACAGGCGGGCAACACAAGGGGCAGACCCGCTGCCAACAGATTCGGCGAGAACGCCGCGACGGACTGGAAGCCTGGTTTCCTCCAAACACCGACGTCCCGCCATAAATGCAGTTACTCTGGCGGAGGAAAGCACAACTGGCACTACATATTGTCGCGAAGAGATGGCAGCTCGGTCGCTCCACAAAAACTGCGCCAAGGTCGCTTTGGCATACGCTCACGGCCAACGGTCGGGCACGTCAACACCGCGACACACTGTGACACTAAGCAAGAAACCGCCGCCACAAGGGTGGCACCGGGCGCTGGGCGTCCGGCCGCGGTCGGTCTGCGCATGCGCGCCGACCCACTGGAGTACAGCCACTGACCATGCCACATCCGAACGGGTTAGAAAATGTCTAGGCACGTGGAGTGGAAGGCAGGCACAGGGGAGGACGCTGCCCAGTCGGGCCGGCGGCGGCCCCGGGGCGTGCCTGCCGCGCTCGCGGTCGCACGGCGGCCGCGGCGCAGCGCGGCGCCGGCGCACCTGGACGGACAGCGGTCGGCGCGCGCGGGCGGGGCGCCACTCAGAGGCCCGGTGACAAACACGCCGGCGCGGCCGCACGTGGCGGGAACGCGCAACAGTCCATAGCTGGGCCTGGTGAGCAGTGGCGTACAACGCCGGCTACCTTAGACGCTCTCCCAACATTTAAGCTCTTTAGGAAGATCTGGTCGTGCAAAACGCAACGAGTGTCAACTTAACGCAAATCAGAAACAGGTCGCCCCGCGTGCGCCACGGAGTAGCCATTCGTGTCTTAACCAATGCGATACGAAGTCGCTAATCCGAAACGGTAGTTGGTGGAGGGACCAAAACAGTGAAATGAGCGCTAAATCCGTGCTGACTTTTACCAATATTTAAGACTGCATTGGTGGCAGCTTTAACACTGTTGGACAGCTACTGTAAACATCAAACTTAAGAACTAATCTCACCCTGCTTCGATGTCAATGCCACGCGCATCGAACAGACGATGTTTGGCGAAAAAAAACAGACTAACTCAGGATTTGGCATTGCTCTCCATTGCGTTGCGCTAGAAGGGCTCTGAAGACTTGCTACATTTGGCAGACATCGACAGTGTAGTTTCGATGAAAAATGACCAAGGACAAAAATTTCGTTAAACTGGCAAAAACTTCTGATTGACAAGAACAAGCATGAATGCACTTCAGCCTGCCACATCTGCCATCGCGTGCAAAATCACACCAGAATGCCTCTGTGTACCAGCAAGTGCCGTGGGTTCCCGGACGGACCTCACCAGTCCAGCTCCTCTCGAGGAGTGCGGCCCGGCCCGGGTCACCAGTAGAAGGGTCAGATCAGACGCCCCACGAAGACGGGACCCGGCCAGAACACAAGCAAGGCGCCGCCGCCGCCGGGACGGCCACACACACACCACGACAGCGCACAGGACGTCGACTAACGCTAATGAATAGGATTATCACGGCGAGTAGCAACTTTGGTTATCCTAGCGTCTAGCGTCTGACAAAGGCCGCGTTCGTTTGGCGGGGGCGGCCGGGCAGCCGGCCGGCACCGCCGCCGCGCGAGGGAACCCTAGCGGCCGTCAGACGTGCCAATAGTGTTCGGGGAAAACCTCGCGGTCCTTCTGCAGCGCCTGCAGTATGGAGGCGCCGGAGTCGGTGGCGAAGCCGGCGGCAGCGGGCGCCGGCGCCGGCGTCGGCGCCGGCCCCGCCGTGCTGGGCGCCGTTGCCGAGACGGTCGCCGCCGCCAGGCTCGAGTTGAGCAGCGAGATGTCGGCGCCGAGCGTCGCCATGGAGACGGCGTGACGCGGCTCTGACGTCATCGGCGTGCTCGTCACTGCAACGGCGCGGCGGCGTCCGGTCAGGGCACGGACAGAGCGGCTGTACCGGCGCAATGCGAGCCTCGGGGCAGCGCCGGCGGCGCTTCATGTCACACGACAACACGACACCGACGCAGCCGTCAAACGGCAGCCTATTTTCTGGCGTATTCATACGCCGCTGACGCAAGACACATCCTATGAATTCGCTATCGACATACCAAGCTGAGACAGTGCGTGGCAGTGCGACTCCATCCGTGGGGCTCCCAACCGGCGGGAGTCTCACGACCTAACACGGTCATCCTAACCTGACCTGACCTGACCTGACCTGATAGGTGACAAAGTAATCTCCAGCAAATGGCTTTGGCACATGCACATGCCGCTTAGGACGATAGCAGGTCAACAGCGCGGACTCATCAACACCACACAGTAGTCGCAGACAAATCGCGCGGCGCATGTAACTGGTAACAATCCATCAGGGCGGTCTACACCCGATCTGGCAGGCGCGCATGCGCCTGAAAGCGCAACAAATGCACGGAGCCGAAGCACAAGTGTGTTGACGCTAAACGGCATGGTTCATCAGTGTCCCTGCCACATCCCCGCCACCTCCGTCCAGAATGGCGTCGCGACGGCAGTCAGCGACGCCATCGCCCCGGACGGATGGCGTCACGGCAGTCAGCGGCGCATCCCCTCCATAGTGCGTCCAGCCGCGGCCGGGGCTCAGAGCGGGCGGCCGGCCGCTCGTCAGGCCGGCAGAGCGGCCGGACGGCGCCCTCCAGGGCCGGCCGCCACCTCCGCCAGCGGCCCAGTGGCGCCGTCAAGAGCCGGCCGCCACCTCCGCCAGCGGCCGGCCGCCGGTTGCGACAGGGCGCGCCGGACCCAACAGCTGCTGGACGCCCCGGCCGCGTCACCGGCCGGGCCGCACCGGGAGGGAGGGGGCGAGCCCATCCCAGCGGCGTGGCCGAACGGCCGCCGTCCACTGATTCATCATACAACAGCAGCCAGCTGACGTTGCCTAATAAGTACTAAGTGCCGACCGTCGACCCCCCAGTGGGCGGCATTGATGGCAGGTACAAGGCCGGCTCGTTTAGGTCACACTAACGACCCAGCTGGGAAAGATTACAAAAGCACCGCAGTGCTCAACATCAATACAATGTCGACTCTTGCAACGCCTTACCATTCACTGTAGCTGACTAAAGGGAATACGCTTGAAGCATTTCCGCAACATGTGTCCATCTGGACACCAGAATCATCCCTATGGAACGCGGCATTTAGCAGCACTAATGGAACATCGTTTAAAAGAAACCTGCGCCATATGCTCAGCACAGAAACGTTTCATGTTATTGGTAACCATTTGTCTTCCAGTTTATAATTGACGTAGCGGGGCGTGGACGTTTCGATAGTGAATGATTTAGTACCAAGACAAGCGTGGCGTCCTGAACGCTTGCAGGGAATTGTCAAATAGATGACTGCTCCATACTACAAGAACACGGTGCCACTTGCGTTGAAATCTGTAAGTAGAGCGGGCTGTACATGTTTCCAAAGGTCGCGCATTTATTGCGTTAACACGATGGGCAAGACGGGAAATTAAGCCGTGAAGAAACATAATGGTAACAAATAACTTAACCCAAGGCCGGTGGATTGCATGTCTTTATTTGCCGTAAACGCTAAGCTGAAATGCCCTTCACTTGAACAATTCTGACCATCGCTCGAAATTGACTTAAGCGCGCGTGCTACAGCCTACCGGCCTGATGCGACACCCCAGCCGGCAAATAACCGTGCCTTGAGGGGAAAACGTGCGGCGCACGCACGTGCAACGCGTATCGAACCCAAAGGCACATTGGCCTGAAGTTGTGTGAAAATAGTGAGTGATCCATTTGCAAAAACTGCCAGGCAGTGACGCACGCACACTACCACCTTTAACAAAGGGGAATAAATGTCGACGTTGGATGGCAAAATCTCACTTCTAGTAGCCGTCGTGGAATATGGTTATTGTGCTAATTTGCGTTGCCAGTGAACAAGTGCAGATGCTCCAGCTGGTTTTAAGAAAAATCACGCGCAGACCGTACGCAAATACCATGCTTAGAAAATCACTCCCGGACTGATGCGTATTACGTGTTATGATGAGATAAACCGGCACGTGCAACTCGAATTATCAATGCCTGCTGATTCCCAAGGCAACTGGCGACATCTGACGGCCGAATCCAGCAATGGGACAGGCGCACCTAACAGCCCGGTTCCAGAAAATTCAGCCGTTTTTGTAATATCTCAAGAGTCGGACGACGGAGAGACGTATAATTTACACACCCGGGGGCAACACATGACATAAAACAGCCTCTGCAAAAAGTGCCAAAATTTCCTATCGCCAGAGTGATCAGGACTTTGTTGTGTTCACCTGGCGCCCTTGGCATATGCGCCTAAAACGCTGAGCACCTACACACATGAGTGGAGTGACCGCACCGCCTTACGCCTGGTCCAGAAGCCCGGCTGCCTGTCTCCGCTGCCCGCTCTCACAAGGCTCACAAGCACGCGGGTGGGAGGTGGGTATGTGAGCCGGGCCACCGCCCGCTGGCCGGTGGGCGCACGGCGCAGACTGCATTAGTCAGGCCGACTGTGGGCGGACAGGACGGCATCAGCTGCCGACAACAGGCCGCCGGACCGAACCATCTGACCGGTACCTCATGACCGCAGGGACAGACTGAGCCTCCGTTGCGGCCGGCGGTAGCGACTCAGTCGCTAAATGTTAATCGCAACAGCAGCGGAGGGACGCACTGACCTCTGTGCACCCAGCTCCTGTTGACCTGAGCGGGGCCGGAGGGGGACACTGACCTCTGTGCACCCAGCTCCTGTTGACCTGAGCGGGACCGGAGGGGGACAGTGACCTCTGTTCAGCCAGCTCCTGTTCCGCCGAACAATTCTAGAATTGGACACTGACCTGTGTGCAGCCGGCTCATGTTGATCATGGAGCCGGCATTGGTGGAGCCGGGCGGTCGGCCCGGGCTGCTGCTGTACACGGAGCTCGAGTAGCCGTGCTGACTCACGCCGTAGCTGGAAACCAACAGACCGTCAGGGGACCCCGTCACCGCGGCAGCAGCATCCAACGGCGGCAAGACACAAAAGCGAATGGAAAAAGTCGAACGGCAAAAAGTCGACAGGGAGAAAAGTCGATGGGGACAGCAATCGAATGGAAAAGGCTCAAGGACTAAAAGTCAACAAGGATAAGTTAAAATAGCAAAGTCAAAGACGGAAAGTCCAATGGAATAAAGGCAGACAGGAAGTCCACGATGCATTTCTGAGAACTTATGGAGACACGTCGTTATCATAAGCACAGCATGGAGCGCCGAGTACTGACAATGATTGCTTCTCTGACGTTTAACCGTACCTCCTGGTAAATTAGAGGTCTATCACTCGGCATAGGAGCCCTGAACCCTGCCGAGCACAGAATTGCAGTTTTCTTTTCAGCAGGGGGCTAGACCGCTTTTCAATTTTAGGAGGAAAGTGGGGTGAGGCGGTAGAAATGCCTTTATTGGCGCTTTGAATGTAGATGGTGTCATTTTCCCAGCGTCGGTCCGGTGGAAGGCTGTGGTCGGTAAGGTTCCCCGAGCGTTGGTCTGGCGGAAGGCCGCGGCTGGTAAGGCGCCCCGAGCGTCGGCCCGATGTGGAGGCGGCTCACCTGGAGGCGTTCATGCCGGCCAGCGACTGCAGGCTGCTCTGGCGGCTGTGCGGGTTGCGCAGGATGGCCGGCACCTCCAGCGCGTGCTTCTGCAGCGCGCGGATCATGGCGTCCTTCTCCACCAGCCGGGCCTCCAGCCCCAGCACCCTGTCGGGCCCCGGTCTAGCGTGTCAGCTGGCGGCGTCAGGTGGAGCCACCCGACACTACGGGACTGGAGCGTTCTCTCCCCAGACACAGCAACTGCCGCCAATACAGCGCGGCAGCCGCTGACCCGGGAGGGGGGGGGGGGGAGGTGCTCCCTCCTCAGACACAGCACCTGCCGCAAGCACAGCACGGCGGTGGCTAACCCGGGGATGTCCCCTCCCCAGACACAGCACCCCGCCGGACGGTTCGGCAACCGGCGTCTTTTCCCCAGCCCAGGCGGCTGACACCAAATCCGTCCCCTCTTCCGTCGACGCGGTGGAACGGCCGAACAGACCCCGGAGCCTCGGTATACAGTGGCTCTCCGTCCGCTCTGAAGACTCGGCCGTAGCTCAGCACAGTCAGGCAGCGAATTAGTACCACATCCCACAGCACGGACCAGCATCGCAACCAAACGTCATCTTCGTTACTTTGGTAAAGGTCAGCATTTTGCAATTTCCTGAAGGGTTAAGGGTAAATTGACGGGCTTAATTTCAGCGAACACACACCGTGTTACTATCGCTTTTCATACTGAACACCTCTTTGTACTTATTAAACAACCATGTTGCTACCGTTCAGCGATCATTTCAAACGAAAACTGCAGTCAATAGAATCAACGTGCACCACGTACAAACCTGATGGGGGATTCGATATGTGGGCGACATCTACACGTAAAAAAGACACTGACACATCCATATTATATGCATTCTCATATCGCTATTCACAGCACCGCAGCGGCACGGCTCACGCTTCCACCCGACGTCAGCCAGCCAGCGTCTGCCAGCGGCCGCCTCTGCAGCAGCCGCCGCGCGCCTCCGCCACTCTCACCTCTCCTCGAGCGAGGGGTGCGAACCGGAGAGGTGCAGAGAGCCCGGCTCCAGGTGGGCCACCGACCGCTCCAGCATCAGCTCACTAGAACCACACACACACCGCTGGCCATCAGGCGGGCGCACGGGCGCGGCCGGGACATGCGCCAGCGCGTGCAGGTGTCGTGCTGCGGCGTGCGGCGGCGGGGCGGGCGGCGGCGGAGCGCGTGGCCCACGCACGGCGGCGGCCATGTCGGGGGGAGGCGGGACAGGGCCCGCACGGTGGCGTGCGTCTCCGGCACGGACTGCATCGGCTGACTCCTGATTCCTGCCTCTCGGATGAACCAGTCGGCGGCGAGCGTGCCGACCGAAATCTGGCGACGATCCATTCATTTGGCAGGCGCGATCAATGATCCCGCTCGCAAACAGCGCGCGCCGCTGGGCGCGATTAACTCAGTGCGATCGTGGTTTTCACGCAGCACGCATCCCAGCTGGTCCGGATACTCCGCACCAGGCCAGTCGCGAAGGAAAAAGCGCGGCAGAGGATGTCTCCGTTGCCACTTGAGGCAGGGCACCACCACGTCTTCGCAAAAATCCCCGCAGCCGCCGCGTGGGGCCGCAGCGTCCGCCGCGCCGCGCCGCGCCACCGCCGCCACTGACCGGCGCCACGGTGGCGCACCGTCCGCACCGCAGCGCTCGTACCAACGCCAGCCAAGCGACCACACCAGCACAACACCGACTGCTGCCGCTGCACAGCTGACCGACTGAGGCCATGCGAGGCTGGGAGCGGCCGCCAGCGCCGGGACGCACCTGTCCCGCGTGCTGTCCACGAACTTCTGCTGGCAGTGCGCCAGCTCCGTCTCCAGCAGCAGCGTGCGCTCGTGCGCGTCGCGCAGCTTCTGCCGCATGTCGGCCAGCTCCGACTGCTGCGGGTTGCCGTTATCGTCGCCCTGGGCGCCAGAGAAATGGAGGTGAAAAACGGGCCGACCACGCCACAGCCACTCGCAGTCGGCAACTGTGGATGGAAAAGTGACACAGACCGGAATGACGCGACATTATAGACCATGTTCAGTTCTCGATATCTGGAATTGTAACAATCTACAGACATCGCTTGCAGTTGTCAGCTCCAGGTTAGTCCCCGCCCGCAGAGCTGACTTGGGCAATGCCCAGAAGCACCGGCACTGCATCTTCCCCCAGCCTTGGAGACATATCCACCCGCCCCAGCTCTGGACCAGGCGACCCCAGCCCAGGAAGACTCTACCTCAACCCTGGAGCCGACCCCAACCAAGCCCAGGAGCCGTCCCCTCACCAGCGCTGTAGCCGTGCCCACCTCAGCCATGGAGCCGCCCCCACCCCACACCCGTCCAGGAGCCGTCCCCACCCCAGCTCAGGAGCCGTCCCCTCACCAGCGCTGTAGCCGTGTCCACCTCAGCCATGGAGCCGCCCCCACCCCACACCCGTCCAGGAGCCGTCTCCACCCCAGCTCAGGAGCCGTCCCCTCACCAGCGCTGTAGCCGTGTCCACCTCAGCCATGGAGCCGCTCCCACCCCACACCCGTCCAGGAGCCGTCCCCACCCAAGCCCAGGAGCCATCTCCCCCAGATCAGGAGCCGTCTCCACCCCCATCCCAGCACTCAAGCCGTCCCCACCCCAGCCCCGGAGCCGCCTCCATACAGCAGCGGCAGCCATGCTGACCTGTTTGCCAGCGACGGCCGCCTTCAAGTCGGCGATCTCGCGCTCGAGGTCGGTGCGGATCTTCTTGTGCGCCGCCTCGCGCCGGTCGGTGGCCAGCTGGCAGGACGTGAGCGCCCGCTGCAGCTGCGCCACGCGCTCCACGAACGTCGCCCGGTCCACGTACTGCGTCTGCAGCTGTGCACGCGCGGCGCGGTCAGACGCGGCCAGCCGACACCATCAGTGGTCAGTTGGCTTATCGGGGGCAAGCTGCACTTTATGGTGTTCCATTTTGTACCTTAAAACCCACCAAATACCCGCCCCATCCCATGCGGACGAGACCTAGACGATTGGGCGCTGCATAGCCACCGGCAGTCGACACGTCCTCCAGCTCCACACCACCACCAGATCTAGACAAAACACCATAGAGCTGTTTTTCAGCCGAGAACATGACGCGAGTTAGGCGTGAGGTGCGGCCGGCCCGCCCTCACCACGGGCCGTCAGCAGCGTGCCCAGCTGGCCTCAGCGCCGCAGCGCCGCCCACTGACCCGCTCGGCGTGCTCCTTCTCGACGCGGACCACGTTCTCCTGCGCCTTGGTGAGCGCCGTGTCCAGGATGTCGATGTACTGGCGCTGCTCCTGCAGCGTGGCGCGCTGCGCCGTCAGCTCGATCTCCTGGCGCTCCTTCACCGCCTGCAGCTCCTTGTCTGCCGGCACAGCGGCGAGCCTCAGGGCGTGACGGGCCCAGCGGGCACACAGGCGCGCAGCGACCGCCACCGAATGACGCGAATATGCAAGGTGGCATAACCGCCAGTTAATGGACAGTGTACGCGAACTTATCACAATAGACTATCCACCAGACAGGCTACATCGGTGCTACTCGATGGAATATGACCCTGGAGTCCATATTGAGCCATCATCGACACACTGGAGTCCATATTGAGCCATCATCGACACACTGGAGTCCATATTGAGCCATCATCGACACACTGGAGTCCATATTGAGCCATCATCGACACATTGAAACAACCGAGCGTTGATGAGAATAGCCGAGCAGTTTCAATAATATCACTTCTTAAGACGGAAAACCACACTGGTTTCACCCGCACAGAATCAACTTGCCCGCAACCAGCGCACAATGGCACGAGGGGACCGCGACCGAGATCACCAAGCTGGCAGCTAGCAGACAGCTGGTCGGCCGGCGCGCGCCGGCGACGTACTTTGCGTAACCAGCTGCTGGATGAGCAGCTCGCGTCGGTCCGTCTGCTTCTTGTCCTCGTCCAGCTTGGAGGTGTCCAGCTGGCTGGAGAGGCTGTTGTTGAGGTCGGTGGCGCGTCGCACCTCGGACGTCAGTTTCTGGCGCGCCAGGTACTCCAGCTGCTCGCGCCGGCGGCACGTCTCCACCAGGTCGTCGTAGTCGGATTGCAGCTTCTCCAGCTCGCGTGCGAACTGGCGGAGACACGGCCGGCCGGTCAGGCGAGCCAGGGGCGCGCACACCACCGGCGATCACCGGGGATGACGCGTGATGCTGGCACCGAACATCACTGGGGTGTGATGCTGATGCTGAGAACCACTGGGGTGTCATGCGTGCATTCGTGATGTCTGCGGTTTGGCACCACGAAGTGCTGCTGAGGAAGGCATTAGAGGGCCACGGCTATAATGGTGACCAGGCATCGCGACGAAGCCGACTTCGGTTTGTTTTTAAGCAACGGCTCGGGATTTGGATTCGGTTGCGCGCCATCTTCCACATTTCGCTTCGACTTTGGTAGCACCATACCATCTCACGACAAGGGTTGCATTCTCCGGACACAAATTTGATCACATTCCAATTCCCGACTGAGGAACACGGCCGACATCGGCGGACATGTCTTAACTGCGGGCCTGCAAGGCGCAATTTGCATGTAAAGCTAACTTGCCTATCTGAACACATCACGACAAAAAAGGTTAACACGATTTCATTTTTTCTACGATAGGAAAATACAACCTGCAACGTAATGATTCCCGAAAAGCCAGGAAGACCACTCCAAGCCAATTCAATTAAGCCTCCTTACGAACGAAGCATTTCAAGGTTTTCAAAGCGTCTTTGAAGAGCGCAGAGACCACCAACATGCAATCCAAATAGCCCATATGCGTGAGCATACTTAAGATCGCGCTCACCTTCTGTAGTTTCTGCACCTTCCTCTGGTACATTTCGATCTCCTGCTTCAGGGTCGAGTTCTCCAGCATGAGAATCTGCATCATCTCGTTGGCATTGGCAGCCACGTAGTCGGGGGGCTCTCGGTATTGGCCCGGGGGTCTGCCGCGGCACACAGCTCAGGTCAAACGTCCCGCACCCACCGCTCGGGAGGCCCGGGGGTCTGCCGCGGCACACAGCTCAGGTCGAACGTCCCGCACCCGCCGCTCGGGGGGCTCTCAGTACTGCCCCGGGGGTCTGCTGCGGTACACGGCTTCCTTCAAACGTCCCGCACCCGCTGCAGACAGCCAGGCGGCTCACAGGCGCACAAAACCGCGCAGCACGGAGCCGTAGCGGAAGCGTTGGGCGCTCTTGAGAAGTCACCATCAGGCATTCGCAAACGCCAACGTACGCCAGCTGGTCGTATCGCAGATGTTCGAACCGCAGCTATCCGCATGATAATGATATTATCCGCAAATGTTCGTAGTTGCAATGTTCGTGACGCGGGTGTTCGTTAAGGCTAGTGTACGCATGCACAAATCGCAAACGCTCAAGCATGCACGCAAAAAAGTTGAATCGGCTTGACAAAACTTTGCCAGAAGCGCATGTCTGTCTCTTTATGTGTGCACGCACAACATTTGCTTCTGCGAGCATTCGCTAAATGAACATTGGGCATTAATAGAAATTTACGGTGCAAAACGTACGTTGGCATCGACGCACCTTTGAACGTACGAGCATCTGTGGTGCGAATAATTGCTGCACGTACATTAACCGTTACGGTCATTTGCGCTAACAAACGTCTGCGATACGCACACTATCAGTTACGAATGTCTACGCTCGCGAACATCTGCCCACGAGCATCTTCAGTACATCTGTTAAAGGTAATACCTCACACTATCAGATAAGTAGAAACAATTCGTTTAAGCCATGATCAGTCGGCGTGTACAGCGCGCGGCGCCACCGCGCTCACCGGAGCGGGTCACCGCCGCGGTTCAGGTCCGGCTGGGAGCGCGATATGGACGACTTGTCGGTGCGGGCGCCGGCCGCCGCCGCCGCCGCCTCGTACCCGGCACCGGCCTCGGCGGGCGCCAGCTGGCTCGACGACGACGAGTTGGACTTGTCGCTGAGCGCGCCGCCTGCCGGCTTCGTCTGGATGGGGAACACCGGACCGTCAGCCGGGCGGCGCAAGACCGACCGCGGGTCACCGCCGGTCATCAACCGACAGCCGGTCATCAGTGGGTCATTAAAAAACTTACAGTCGGTCATCAGCAAACTAACAGCCGGTCATCAGCGGGTCGCCAGCGTACTAACAGTCGGCCATTCATCAGCGGACCAAAAGCCGGTTATCATGAGTCATCAGAGAGGAGTCTTAGGAGACTTAGAGACGTCCGAAGGCGGGTGGTCAGCGTACCATCAGCGAACCTCAGCCGACCATCAGCGGGCACTCAGCTTATCACCTGAAGGACGTCACCACCCCGAAACAACACACGAATCAAGAACGGCCACCGACAGACGGGGCAGACGCACTACGGCCAACTAGACAGCAGTGCAGCCATAGACTGCTCCGACTGCGGTGCGCCACCCGCTCAACGGACGGTATCGCACCAGCTACCGGCCGGCTGGCAGCTGGCGCACTGTCAATGGTAGCGCACCAGCTGCCGGCCGACTGGCAGCTGGCGCACTGTCAACGATAGTGCGCCAGCTGCCGGCCGACCGGCGGCTGGCGCACTATCGACTCGGGACTGTGACGACTGGCACGTGACACCCATAACGGAAGGCGGGTGTAATATTCCACGACAGCGTGACAACCGGTGGAGACAAGCTGCCCCATAAATAGTTCCAAGTGTTTTAACAAGACACAACGCACCACCGCCCCAGCAGACCGTGCCGACAGACCTGCTTGTCAACATACGGCCGCTTCGGTGGCCGAAATGTCAGCATCTTTTCACGTTACTGTATTCTGGCTTAGGGTTCAATGCATGTTACCCCTCCTCTTGCTCAGAAACAGTCAACCAGCATTGCACCAGATGGCAATCAACCCGGCATCTAAGCGCCTCAGGCTTGACAAATAGGTCGGGCATGTCAATGTCTGGATTCAGGGTCAAAGGGCGAAAGATTAGCTCCAACAAATTGCGTGCATAGACCGCCAGGAAAGCAAGATTTTGGGAGCGCTAATTTATATTTACATTCTGGACACCACACTGGATGAATTTTGGAGTGCTGCGACAGACGTCAGATGCTGGAGAGCATCTGACGTCCATCTCAGGCGGGGCGCCGGCTCCGTCGCCCCGCCAAAGATGGCTCTACCTGCGCCACACAGACGGCTCCACCACACACCACAGCGCGCGCGCTCGCCAGCCAGCGGCGGCCGCACCTCCTTTCCATTGACGTGCGGCGGCTCGCGCAGCAGCCGCTCCAGGCTGTTGTAGTGCATCTGGCCGGAGACGGCGGCGGCAGCGGCGGCGGCGGCGGCGCCCGGGCGCGGGTACTGCGGCGGCGGCCGGCCGGTGGGCGGCGCCATCGGCCGCTTCAGCGCCTTCTCCACACTGGCGGCGGACGGGACGCGTGACGACCCGATGACGTCGGCGTGAGCGGCGACACATGACGTCACACGGCGACTGGCGTAAAGCATGGAACGATGGCAAGCGTTCCAGGTCGGTGCGACGGGTGATGATCAACAGACGGGCAACGCGTGCAAGATCCATTGAAGGGTCGTTGTCGCACATTGAGTATACCATGTTAACAACTGTCTCGTCCGATAACGTCACGACAGCAAACATACACATACACAGATTGCTACCAGTAGTGACTGCGCTGTTCTTTCAGAAACCTTTAGTGAATGTTACACACCTCTTAGCCCACTCCATCGCTCCTACGGGGGTCGTGAAATCCGTCCCTGCTAAGGCAGTCTTCACTAAATTCTCTTCACCCTGGAACCAGAGGACAGTCAGACCTTGCTCCATTGCCTTCATGAGCTTCGGTACAGCCACGTGCGATTTTACGTTGGGATGCAAGCAAACAAACACGAATGTAAGAATCCATTTGAACCCGGCCATTTCCTCATGAGCTGTTTTTACTCCGCCCGCAAAAATATACACAGACGCGACCAATACTTTCCGTCATTCCTACCGACAGAAAATGGCTGGTAAGTTGGCATACAAAGAAAGTATGACGCTGGGACGTAGTGGAAGCACGGGTCTGGATCCACGAAAGATGCACTATGTGGAAGCAAACCGCACTTACCAGACGCCTGCTGAGTGATAGGCATGTAAGCAGGCATGAGTGACACCAGGCCTCCACTGACCTGGGGATCCTGGCGCTCTGTGTGACTGAGAACATACTTCTCCTCGTGCGTCAGGTTCTCGGCTGAGGTGGACACGTCCGTGTCGCTACCGCTCACAGTGCGCACGCCTGCGGCAGACAAGGGACCACCATTGCATGGGCACTACCACACACCAAGCTGTGTGAACATGGCGGCAGGCCACACCGCGCTATGTGAACATGGTGGCAGGCCATGTCATACTATGTGAACATGGTGACAGGCCACACTGTGCTGTGAACATGGTGACGCTACCGCTCACAGTGCGCACGCCTGCGGCAGACAAGGGACCACCATTGCATGGGCACTACCACACACCAAGCTGTGTGAACATGGCAGCAGGCCACACTGCGCTATGTGAACATGGTGGCAGGCCATGTCATACTATGTGAACATGGTGACAGGCCACACTGTGCTGTGAACATGGTGACAGGCCATACTGTGCTGTGAACATGGTGACAGGCCACACTGCATTATGTTCACATAGCAACCAGCCACAATGTGCTATGTGAACATTACAACAGGCCACATGACACTATGTGAACATGACAGCAGGCCACACCACATTACATGAACATGGTCAGAGGCCATGCCATACTATGTGAACATGGCAATAGGCCATATTGTGCTATGTGAACATGGCAACAGGCCATACCATGCTATGTCAACATGGTGATGGGCCATGCCATACTATGCGAGCATGGTGGCAGGCCATACTGCCTTCATGACACATCTGATGCCATGGCAGGCATTTGCTGAGGCATGAAGCCACTTCAAGAAGACACTCCATGTTGATTACACATCCTTGATTCTTACCAATCTGCAATTGATGCCTGAAATACTGCAGCAAAGCCAACCCAGACGTCCAATGATCTACTAAGACACACCACTAAAACAGCAACAACAGAAACACTGCTAAAGGCAAAATCATTTCAGGGGTAACATTAAGCCTAGCAATCAGTTCTAATCAAGCAATGATCCTAAAGCCATGGAATTTCACAAATAATAAGGAAAGCGGCACAGATGTATCTGCCATCAAAAGTAAAACATGTGACTGCCCAGGTCATAATTGTTCAGGGGAGTATCTTTTGTGATACTCTTGGCATGGCCAGATATGAGCAGCAAAAGCAGAAGTTGTACAGCAATCAAAACACAAAACTACTTGTGAAAAGGCAGTGCCAAAACAAAACCAGACATCACCAGTCTTAACAGTGGATGACATTTTTGACACCCGAGCTCATTGAAGCAGTTGTGGAAGTTGGATGGCCATGGTAGAAGACCCCTGGCATGCTCACACTGAGACCTCATCTACATCCTTGACTTGAAACTGATCTGAGAGTTAATCACCAGCCAACCAAATGTCACCACCAGTGTGCCAATTGGAACAACAGGACACCAGGGGGGTGATATCAGGAAAAGAAAATGACACACCTTGGCACATAACTGTACCATTTTGAGGCCCCAACCAACATGTTTTTGACATCAAACAGCACATATGTAAGCAGTTTCAGCACTAGTCCTCATGACTTGGCATGTCAGATGCCCTAGATTCTGTGAAAACTGCTGTTGTCTGGAACACCATGCACAGGAATCCAAGCACATAAAGGCCAATGTAAGCTAAGAAAATATATTTACCTGGCGGGTGAAGAGCCACAGCCTGGTTGTAGCTTGGTGGAGGGCGTTGTGGATGTCCTAAGTCCATAGCCGAAGTTGTCCACGTCAATACACACCTATCAAAGGAATGACTGATGTTGCCTTCTGTTGAAACTGATGTGAGAATAAGTTCTCATGAAGACTGACAAATTGCATCACATTACTGTGCCATTTCAGGGAGGTTGTTGACAAACCCTCTACATGAAGTTCCTTATGCCCACAATATTTTAAACCTAAACAACTCTATCAACAAAATCACTACATGAATAACTAACATACAAAACTTGAAAACATTTATGTTGCTAAGACTCTAAATGCTGATATACAAGTGAAAGCAAGACATAACATCCACTGGCATGACCTACACATTAAAAATCTATGCAATAATTCTACATGCAAATTCCTACAAAATACAGCTGCAAAACACATTTTCATCTTAGAGTAGTGTGCTGTGCACACACAAGCAGTTCAATCAATATCACTGCACAGTATTTTTGGATTCATACTGCCTATCTTTCATCACTCAGCCCCTGGATTTAGATCTGGATCTAGTCTGATCTCAATGGTATCAATTAGTCATGACCTGCAAATTGCATGCTACATAAATAAACTGAATGCAGGATCATAAAATTGAATTACATCATAACATTGCAGAAAAGCAAACAGCTGATGTGACAGCTTTATGGGAATGTAAAAAACAATAGTGGCAGAACTCATATGGCATTAGGTTTTGTATTAACTGGTTGTGGCATTACATGGCCTGGCTTGTGATTAAAGCAGCAAGTGGAATCATGAGGCAAGCTACCAAACAGGACCATGAACAGGGAGTAGGAAACCCAGGGTGTAGAGTTAACCCTTCTTGTGATGACAAGGAAGCTTATAATCTGCTTAGATCCATACCAATAAAGAAGCCTTGATAAGGTGCATAAGGAAAACTTTTCATCAAATGACCAGACATGAAGCATAACCTTTATGAAACTTGGGCATTAAGCATTGTTTCAATGAGCAGGCTCTATTCAACACCTCAACTTGGCAAGCAGCTTTGCTTCCTTGTTGTATCAACACCTTGTGCAAGATTGTTTCAAAATGAGACTCTGACATACAATAACTGTGATACTACAAATTCATCCAGCAAAAAGCCTAGCTTATCACTAATAAGCCAAACCATGACACTCTAGTTCATGTTCTTTAACATGTTCTAACCAATTCATATATTTCAACATGTTCAAACGTGATGCCATATGACTGGGGAGTAGTACCATGATAGCATAATATGATCTCTGGACGTTGATACCTGGATGTTCAAACACGACAACATTCAAAACTTATCGTTCAGCTCTACTTGAATCCCTCTTTTCAAAACATGAAACATGCCGTTACCTAACGAAATCTCAACCTTCTTAAGGAAGTTCAAACATGCTGCATATCATTTCACCGTCATGCATATTCAACGCGATACGAACCGGAATCCGGACACCTCGGACCCAACAACACCCCTAACAACAAAGACGATGGGCCGCTCTCAGATGCTTTCCTAAGCAGCAACATTGGGCCTGAAAGGCGAATACATACATGGCGCACCTGTATCGTTTGATAAAATCAGCTGAACATCCCAAACTTGAAAGCAGTTCGCAAAGGGATAAAATGGTTAACGTGAGCCAAATATGAGCAATCAGATGTATTTCGCAAAACTTGGAATCGGAGCCGATTTCAGTACTGATCCTTTGGACATTTACGGATGCTTGCGCTTTTTCGGTAGCCCTCTTGTCCTGCTGGTTTCACCACATTCCATTATTTTCCATCGCGACCTATTCGTCACGTGATGATATCTCGATGTTATTTGCCAGAACCTCCTTGTCAAAACAGCTTTCTGCGCGCCGCTGGACATTGGACGCGTGCAGAGGTATCCCGATCAGCTCCACATGCACCTGCAATTGTTGTACTTCATGGTGTCCTCGCCACCTCGTGCCTTCAACCAATGTAAGGGCTGTATGGGCCTTGCCCGACAGCATGCATGAGCTCCAAGTTTGCAACGCCGGTGTCAAGCGCGAAAGAACGTCCTTGCAATTTCACCATCATAGCGACATAGCGACACTCATAATGCCTCCACGGTCCGTTCTCCACACGTACACGGATCAACTCACAGGTTGGCCCCAGACTTCAAGTCTTCGTAACAATTCAGGCAGCCCCGTCCCTCTTTGTTGCATAAGTTGCTATGCCTGCCCATCCATAGCCAGTTCCATAGCCATGGCGAGGCGGGATGAAGCGGTCATGTCCTCCGTGAGCCCCCCCCCCCCCAAAGTACTCTCATGCGATTTAAAACATCCGTATCGCCAAATTTCTGCGACACCGTATGACATTCCAAAAAGATACACATATTTCAAAAACGTCCCTTGAGCGATGAAGAGGGGCCCCTTGAGCGGAAGAGTCCCCTACGACCCGACCTGGTGCCTTGTTAGACGCTCGTCAGTGCGTCTAAAAACGGAGCAAAACAAACTCCCGCCTCCCCACGTCCCATCACGGATGGCTAGCGTCGCCATGGTTCTCCGGCGTCACCCATTATTGAAGGAAGTGTCACCCAAAGACTGTGACCGCAGCGGAGCTGGTGGGTTGGCTTGCCTTGTGGTGGGTTGACCCGCCTCGTCACGGCCAGCGGTCAAAGGTGGGGGGACACCTGTCTCCCCCCCCCCCCGTGTTTCTCTAGGCAATCTCGCACGCATAAAATCTAATTTGGCACAAATCGGGGGCATGCCCCCCCCCCCTCCCCCTATTCCGTGGAGCCCATGGCTGTGTCTGTAGGCTCGGCGGTGGTATGTCCGAATACTGCGTACGAATACATCGGCCGGCCGGTCAGATTGAGAGCTAGGCGAGGCAGCATCTACCGTCCCTGCCAAGGCCGCTCATCACCACCTTGGAAAGAGGAACGTGTTTTGCATTGGACCACTCGCAAACCGGTTGTGCTTTTGATGGTTGCGGAGCTCCTTTCGACCCCTGGAACGGCGTCTGGCACGACGCCACGCGATCCATGCCGACGGAGCTCGCGATCCGCACGCTATGGCAGACACCCTTTTCGAAACCAGATCTTCTTGGCACAACTTTTGCAACACACTGATAATTTATCCAGCTACAAAGCCTGGGACCGATGGTTCACGTCCACTACATTCCGTTTTTTTTGCACGCTAAAACACACGCAACATATGCAATGCTTGCATTAAGAAATTGCATCGCGGTACCATTTGGAATGATGCACCACAAGAACAAACTTAAGGTGTCATTGATCATACTCGCCCTGAAATAGCCCAAAGCTCACAAACACTCTTACAAGTAATAAGATATTCTGCTGGTAACACCAATGGCCTGCTGTCATGTAACCATTCCTATATACGATTAAAGAAATATCCAGCACCAGGCCACACTGACTGCGTCCGGCAGTCAACTCAGTTGCAAAGAGCCATGGCAAGGCTACCACCCAACATACAGTACTATCGGCTTAACACCACCCAACATAGCTCAGCTTCTGGCCAGTGACGTGTCGGTCAGGCAATGCAAACCAGTATACATTGCTTAGTCACCACAAGCTCCTTGTCGGCCGCTGTTTTCATATACGCCATCCATCATCCCAGCCGACAGACCCGCTGGTCTCAGGCCGACCAGCCCCCGTCTGCTTGTCCCTCAGCCAAACTTCACTAGTCCGCCAGTCCAAGTTTGTCGGCTTGCCGGTACCGATCCGCCAGTCCCCTGGTAACCAGCGCACCAGTAGCGGCTCCCAGCGCGCCGGTCCGCCTGCCTCCGGAGCCGGTCCGCACGGTCGCGCGCCTCACTGGCGCTTCTTGTCGCGCGGCGACGCGGCCGGCGCCGCCAGCTGGGTCATCGGCGGCTCGTCGACAGAGCTCAGGTACCGGATGAGGAAGTAGCCCTCGGCCACCAGCACGACCAGCGCGGCGGCCAGGCCGGCCAGGATGCGGCGGCCCGTGTCGGCGTTGCCGGCCGCCACCGCCATCGCCATGTAACCGAACAGGAACGCGGCTGCCACGGAGAACACCACCTGGCCCACTTCCACCAACTGGGCGTTCACCTCGCGCACTGCAGCAGGGCGGGGAACATGGGTGAGAACAATACTTCCCACAATGCGGGAGGAGACGGGGGCCGGGATGTACATCAGAACATCAGCAGGGCTTTTCACTCCCCACATGCAACTGTTGGTAACCGCGCAAACACGATATTTTTGCCACAATTCATCTTTCTCTCTGTCCCCAACCCACAACGCAAAATATTGATTTCGCAATTATGTTGAAGTTCCTTGAAATGCGGTCTTAATGATATTGAAAACATATGTACCATTGAACATGCATAACACGGGTAGACACAGTTACACATAATATATAACTGAATATATTTTACAGCCTTCCGTCGCGTGCAATGTGCATAAGCGCTTCACTAAATAGCCCACGGCCATTAAAACCACTGAAGCCTTCCAACGATTGTTCGCGTCGCTCACCACGCTGCACCTGCCACAATGTCCGAACGCAGCGGACGGTGACCGGCCGACCGCAGCGGGCGGCGGCTGACCGACCGCAGCGGGCGGCGGCTGACCGGCCGCAGCGGGCGGTGGCCGCCCAAGCGAAGAAGGCAGTGGGTGACCGACCGCAGCGGGCGGTGGCTGACTGACCACAGCGGGCGGTGGCCGGCCGACCGCAGCGGGCGGTCGCCGCCCAACCGCTGCGGGCGGTGGCCGACCGACCGCAGCGGGCGGTAGCCGACTGATCTCAGCAGGCGGTAACGGGCTGCCGGCGCCGCCAACACTCACTCTGTTTGCCGATGGCGATCGTCGGCTCCCGGAGCCGGGCGTTGTCGACGTTGCGCACCATGCGCCGGTAGTCGCGCTCGTCCTGCTCCAGCCGCAGCCGCTGACACCGCGCCTGTCGGTGGGCACGCGGCGGCTCACGGTCCCGCCCAGCTCTCCCGTCCGGCAGCCGGCTCGTCACGCCAGCAACCCGCACGCATCAGCCGGATGGCGGTCGACACGACCGAGTATGCCCCTGGCTCTTGCATGGATTAGTTCATGGGCTGATAGGAGGATATGACACTAAGGGTCCACGCGGATTTGTGAGCACTCACAGCTGATTTAATTCATACCAGTTGGGGAGTTGAAGCCTGGATTGAAAATGGCTACAGGACACATCGACCAGTGAAATGAACTCCCAGACTGTAAAAACACGCTCCAGCCGTGCAGGCAAGAAGTGTATGCCACCCGGACTACAGATGTACCGGACGTTCGCCATTGTCCATGCCCTCGGTATCTCACAGTCACAGGACCGTTACAAAACTTTGTGATGACAGTTTGAAGCGTACACGAGCAGGCTGCGCCGGGCACACCCACGCCCTGACAGCTCTCTCCGCCGGCCGCACCTCCAGCTCGGGGTCTCTGGGAGGCGTGACGAGCGCCGGCAGCACCATACGGCCGCGCCGCAGCAGGCCCAGCAGCGGGGCAGGGTCGCCAGCCGCCGCCAGCCGCCGGCGCAGCCAGCGCACCTCCTCCAGGCCGAGCGTGGCGTCCGGCCGCGCCAGGCAGCGGCGCACGCCCTCTGGCGCCTCGTCGGCCACGCCCGGCGCCTCCAGCAGCCGGCGGACGGCGGCGCGCGCCTCCTCCGACGGACACAGCTCCATCCTGCACGCCCCGCTCGTCAGCGGCGCAGGCAACCTCGACCGCAATGGCCCGTGCCAGACCGTCACACGTGGCAGATGTGACAGTTTTAACACGGCCATAGCAAACACAATGCTATTATACTTTACAAAATGGCACAATTGGTTGGTGGGCTATATACGAATGAGCATCACAGCAGGAGCAAATGCCATAATTGGCAGGTGCATTGTGCATTACCAGTCCTCATAATGGTAACTGTGTACACAAAGAAGCAGTCGTCAAATCGCATACAACAGCTCTGAACCAGTATGAACACCTTACACTGGTTGATCCCGCGACTTGCATGCCGTATTTGTACGGTGCTGTGATAACACATGATAAAATCACAAGAAAGCTGCGCGGGTGCGCTGCACTCTACCCAGATCTAGTTGAGCTTCCGTTCGGCGCGTCGGTAGTGCTCATGCAGATCGTGCTCCTTGCGGGCGAACTCCTGGTCGACCTGGGCGCGCAGCTGCTCGATCTCAGTCAGGAACTGGCCCCAGTCTTGTTCGCGGACGATCTGCAGCTCGGCCGTACGGTCCTTCGCCTGCGGCCGGCCACATGCCGCGTGAGTCGACCTCAGAGGTGCTGCCTGCTCCCGTGACACTTCTCTGTCCTGAGCCAGCCCTGCCTCCGGGCGGCTGCACCGCACATGCCAGTCTGACAGCGTTTGGACCATGTTGGCGAAACTTTTACGTACCGCAAATAGTGGGGTGGTGTGACAGCAAACACACTTTTGAATTAAGAAGTGCTTACAGTCAAACCGAAATAACTGCAAAATCTAGTTATGATATACTAAAAACAAAGAGTGCAGATGAACAAAGAACAATATTTGTAAAGATCACAACAATTATACACATTTCATGAGTAGCACATTACAAACAAAAAAAGCTCCTCAAGTTGCACCTCAATTGATCACATCTCCAGTTTTCTTGTTTGTAATGGCACCCACCTAAAGCCAGCCAGCAGTGCAGCAGCCCTCCTTTCAGCCTGTGGGGTCAGCTGCTTACCAGGTCGCTGGCGCCGGCGTCACGCAGCACGGTCTGGCACTGGCTCTGCACCAGGTCCGCGTCCTCTAGCAGCGTCGGCAGCGTCTGCGCCAGCAGGTCACGGCAGCCGTCCACGAGGCCGTCGCTGATCTCGCGCACCTGGCGCAGCGGCGTGCCCAGCTCGGGCGCCTGGCCGCCTGCGTGCTTCAGCTGAGGGTCGGACAAAGCATGCTGCAGCGGTGCCGGTCCGACCGACGACCGCGCACACCAACCTCAGCCAAGCAGACCCCCGGACCATGTCGCCATCCGTGGTCCTCCCTGTTCTGCGCATGCGCACGTTGGGCCACGCCAACAAAAGGAAAAACCTCACACATATAACATATGCAGCAATAGCAGGGGCAGCAACCAAAACACTGAAATGTGAATTGTGGCAATGGCAATGGAACCCAATGGCATAATGCAAGGTGTAATACTTTTTCAATGAGGTGGTCTTGCATGGGCTGGCAAGTTTTGCTTAGCAATGAATATATTTAATTTACATGACATGAATACAAAAAACCTCCATGCATTCTAACACAGCTCTCTGTTGCCCTGCTACATAAGCGATCCATGGCGAAAAAAGCTTACCTCAAAATGATGGATGAAAGACTTAATTTCTCCTCTCATAAAAGGTCGATGGTCGAACAGTCGAGACCAGACCTCTGTTGCATGATCTACAAAAAATGAACCAGTTAATGCAACACAAGCTTTTGTTCATCTATCCCCCATGCTTTTGAAACAATCCTGATATAGTTCATGCGGAGTGAACTGCCTTCAACTTTCACTGGCAGATATGTTGGGTGTCCGTGATAATGTCTTATCTTAATTAATTTGACTTTCATAATCTGGTTATCCTGAAGACCAAGTGCAGCTTTCCAATGTTACCACCTACCTAGTCAAAAACTCTTCTATCATCTGCTGGTGATCTTCCATTACCTCTGCACCAGAAAAAAAAATAAGAAGAAGAAGAGCACTAACCATGCAATGGCCATCTATGCCACAATACACTATATTGGCAATCAAAATTGTCATGATGTTAACCAAGTGATAATGGCTAAATAACAGGCACTGGGAGAGCCAGCTTCCATCAACCAGCACAGCAAATAATACCAGCACACAGATGTAAAGGGGCTGACACAAAACACTCATTTCTGGCTGCCTTCCCCCACAAAAGTAATAATGCCACAGACTGTTGCAGCTCCCCAAACCAGCAACTGCCAGCTACAGAGTCCACCATGTATGCCCTGGAGTATTGCCCAAGACAAAGCAGCCATGCCAGCCCACTGCATTATGCTGGACAAGATATTACTCCTACTCTTGGCAGGCACAAGCCACCTGCCCCAAGGGGAGGAGGGTGTCCCTGTTTATGTAACTGGCTGTGCTGAGACTCAGTGAAGCTGAGGACACAGCTTTGAAACAGAAGACACACCTTTGTGTCCATGAAGATCACCATGAGGAACAGGTCACATGTTAGCTGAGAGCCCAGTGAGCTCCAGATACCATCATATAGAGTCCGACACACCAAGATCTTGAAGCAATGCCCCCAACCCCCACCCGTGATAACCCCATGCATCAACTCATTTCGCCTAGCCTTCATCCTAACCACGCAGTGGCTCAAGGTTAACTACAAAGTACAAATGCTGAAAAATTTTAAAGGCCAGTTATCATTTCCCTCAGAAATGATTTCCCAACCATAACGCTTACATACTAACCAAACACAGACTCATCCGTCATGCCAAACGCAGCGGGACCCCCGACGACCACCCAATGCGTGACGACGCACACTTCTCAGGTGTCACGAGACCGCTCAAGGATGAAGCGAGGCGCTGGGACGGACATCATGGTAGCGTTTGCTGCCATATTCACTATATGGCGTCAAAGGCCTGTTGGATGTACTATGCAGGGTCGTTAATGATATGGCATGCTATGCTATACTCGATCGATACGATATTATAGAGCCTGGTGAACTATCAAACATAACTTTAGCAGCCGTAGGACGAAATGCACAAGGGAGGCAGTGTTATGAATGCAGATAACAACTGATGAAAGCGTAGTGTCAAAGATTGAAGTGTCCGTCCTGATAGTTCATGTCCGTCCCGATAGCTCAGGTCTGTCCAGATTGCTCAGGTCCGCTCCGATAGCTTAGATCCGTCCCGATAGCTCAGGTCCAACTCGATAGCTCATCCCAATAGCTCATTTGGTTCGAGCGTCTGCTTTACGTTCCACCCACCGTGGCGACCGATGAGTTCGAGGTGCCTTAGGCTTTACAATCTGAAAAAGTCGACAGAGATAAGATTCGAATCCGAAACAAGGTGAAGGGCAAGGAGTCGAAAGAGATAATGGTCGACAGGGATGAAAGTCGAATCGTAAAAGTAAAATGTCATGCAGTCGAAAGGAATGCAAGTCGAGAACATAAAAGTCGAATCGGAAGATAGTTGAGAGGGATAAAAGTGGATTGGGATAAACACTGATCGGGGAAAAAGTTGGCCGGGATTAAAAAAGAATAGGAGAAAGTGCAAAGACCAAAAGTTGACAGAGATAAGAGAAGTAACGCGATGAGTCAAAGGACAGAACATTGACCGGAATGAAGGTTTTCTTGAGCATGTAAAAACATCGGCAGTCAAAATAATTTCAAACAGAAATGTCCCGTGGCTTGGCGCCTGATATGAGAGGTGGGCAAAGTTGTGGCCACGAGGCGAGACAGTTGGGGCTGGATGGAGCTGAACAAGACTGGATGGGATGGGATGAGACAGGAGCGTATGGGACAATGCCTAACCAGATCATACCAAATGGAACTGGGCGAAAACAGACGAGATGGGGCCGGATCGGACAGAGCCGGACGAGACCAGGCGGGACCAAATGGGACGGGACCGGACGAACCGGAATGCTGAACGCGTGCCCGGACCGGGCGTCGACAGGACATAGGCGCGCGTGAACAGGACCACGCGCGACCGGAGACGACCAGGCTGCATCGGAAGTGATCGAAAAGAAGCGAACGGGACAGAACGGGACCAAACGGGACCAGACCGAGCCCGACAAAACCGGAAGGAACAGAACAAGCGTGCTCGGTGGCACGCGGCTGCAGCATCCCTGGGGTTTGACAATGAGGAGAGAGAGGAGAGTGGGGTACGCAGCGCGGCTGCCGGACAGCAGACGGTGTCTGTTGTGCGGCTGTGCCGGCAGTGAACCTGCGTGCGCATCACGAAACCCTTAAGAATACCGACATGGTGTGGACCCGTTCCAGGCACAAAGCTATGCTGCTTGATATCAACGAGAAAGGCCTGGAATGGAGCATTCCACTTTTTGTACTTTTTACTTCTTGTTGCATCAGGCGCGTACGATTTCATCAGCAATGCCAGTTCTCTCGAAATCCTTCTGAATGGTCCATAATTTGTATTTGAAGTAGCCAACCCTGCGGGAGAAATCCCATTTAAATCTGGCCACTATGAGAGTAATACACTTAATTTGTCCTGCGTTTTCCAACCTGTGTGTTCTGTCATGTTTGCAAGACACTTATGTGTCTTGTCCGTTATAAGTGGTACAAGAACTTTCAATGCGCCGTTCAAGTATATATATATATATATATATATATATATATATATATATATATATATATTTGTATACATATGTAAATATATATCTCTCTCTATATCTATATCTCTATCTATATCTATATATAGATGCATACATGAAGTTACTATCCGCAAATTTAGCGAAGCGTTACGGTATAGCCTTGATTTGTTTCCTATTAGTATGGCCTTGATTTGTATGGCGTTCACCACAATAACTCTTTTCGAGGCACATTTTGGCTTTGGAAATGGAAGTATCACATAATCCCTATACGGCATTGGCTCAAACCTCAACAAACCAAGTTTTCAGTAACAGCCCATGCCCGCTGGACCAACCGCAAACGTCCTTTTTTCGCACCACAAGAGGTGCAAGGTCATGGTCATGGCGACGGTGGTCGCGGATCCAGGGAAGAAGAGTACTAGCACTGGGTAGAGCTGTTACAAAGCGTGGACAACGTAACTTGGGGCCGAAAATAGTTATCAAATCATTGAAATTAGAGAGTGAAATGGAAAAATTAAAACATGATAAGAGCTGATGCCCCCATTTTGTCTTGACGGTACTGCACCGGCACAACCCAGTGCTATTATAAGACTAAGTTGCCCTGAAGTTTCACTCCAGTATTATTTTGAAATATGCCCCAAGGGCTGGACACCCCCTTTACTTTCGGCCAGGGGCGTAGTTTCACCAAATGAGTTGAAGGGGGTGGGAGGGGGACCGCGGTGGGAAAAAACAGCGTAACCTACCTTGAATACGCCAGTAAACGTATTTCTGCCCGAATTCGGCCCACTTTCTTCTCATATTGGGGGGGGGGGGGCATCCCGCTTTTCCCCAGCTGAATAGGAAGCTGTACCGCTGCGTTGGGTATTTTGAGTTCAGAGCTCCTATGCCGAGTTATCGACCTACAATATACAAGGAGATACGGTTAAACGACGTCACAGAGCAACGTCCATTATATTACCAGCCCTCGGCGTTTCAGGTTGTGCTTGTGAGGTTGCAAGTTTGTAGTATCACCACTCGGAAGCTCTCGTGGACTTCCTGCCGGCTTTGTTCCTTGAACTTTTCGTCTTTTGACTTTTCTGTTTCGAGTTATTCCTGCCGGCTTTAATCCCTGCTGACATTCGGTCTTTTTTCGACTTTTTCCAATTCGAATTTTGTCTCTGTCAACTTTTTCCCATTGTTTTTTTTTGTCCCTGTGAACTTTTTTGGATTCGGCCTTTATCCCTGTCGATTTTTATCCCTTTTGACGTTTTGGCTTTCGACCTTTCCGATTTCACTTGTCGTCTTTTTCGTTTAATTTTTTCATATTTTGCTTCCATCCCAGCCGACTTTTATCCCTTTTTTCAGTATATGAAAGCAATAGGAGATGTAATTTTTCATCAATAAATGTGATGTACAAGGCCGTATACTCTTACCTTATCAACCATCTTCGCTGACACAAAAAACTGCGTGCACATGTCGGTTATAGCATGGTCAGTGCCAAGATGTAGCCTGCGTGTACATGCAACACGTTAGATTTGGAGTCCCCCAACTCGCGGCGGCAATAACTCAAAGAGCCGGTACAATTCGGTAAGCAGATCGAGCGATTTCTATACAAACCCTCCTTCTTTTAACCGATTCTCAACATCACACAATGGTGCTTTCCTTGGCTTCCCAGCGTGAAAGCTGTATGTGTGGTGCACGTAGAGCCCCCCCCCCCCCCCTCTCTCTCTCTTTTCCTCTTAAGTCACCGGTGGCGCTTCGACAGTGGGTCCCGATTTTAACCCAAGCCTATGCCGACCACATCGGTTTGCTACGTTCTTGAAGCCGAGAGAAGGTTATTCAGACGTGGCTGGAAAGGTCCTGGCCGAAAGCTGCAACTTAAGTTAGGCTTCGCCTAACACTCCGTTGTCGCATCAGATCGAATGATTGCCCAGAAATGGCCTTCACCCACAGCAGCGATCTGACTTTGACATGCCATAGGTCAGAAACCTTACAAGGTAAGCAAATTTGTGTACCACAAAATCCGCTGTTCGATTGCCCACACCTATGCAAAATTTGGTGCGACTGCGCTTCGGCGTTCGGAGGTCGTGTTGGGAAAATGAAGGGGGGTCACTTTGACACTCCTCGGGAGAAATGTCGACGTGACCCTTCACCCGAGTACGTGTTAACATTGCCGCGTACATCATTATACTCGCCATTAAATTCTGCGTAATCGGCTCGCTGGTCACATACATCTGTCACTCCCAGTACATTCGTCAGGTACGAAGACAGCTCGATGTTCCTGCCGCCCTATTGCCATCAGTCTCGCGTGTACGTTTCCGCTTTTCATGTCATTGCACATGAAAGGTCGCACAGGTCTGCAAAGCACATCATCACCTTCACCATAGAATGATGCGTCATTGGCTCACTGTTCTAGCATTTCTCCCGCTAATGGCTTTTGCATTATCTGTACGAATATTTCGATGTTCTGGTTACCCCTTAGCATTACGTCCAGCGCCTAGCAGTCCGTCACGCATTAAAGTCTCGACATCAGTGACGTGACTGACACGACTGACGTCACGCTAAAGCTAAGGGAAAATGAAGCGAGGATCATCGGATGGTTTGACCTCTCTTTTACGGTCTTGGAGATTTACTTCCTCGCGTGCCAAGCGCCACTCGTGTTATTATTCGTTTCCAGTAAGCCGCTTGCTCATTGGCTGCACGGCTCAACCACAGACGCCATGGTCGGTTGGACGACTCGATTTTGCACATTTGGGAAAATTTGGAATGTGGTGTCTCGTCGATTGTCGGCCGGCCTTTTACGTCTCTCTTCGCCAGTGGGGAGCCATTGACAGCGTCACAATTTGACGTCGGGATCTAAGGGCTCTCAACGTACCATGCCTAAAAAACTCGCTGATTTTGTTATTCCTAGTCACGAACAATTATGTGCCATGTGACCCTTATCAACCATTTGCCCGTGGCTCAGTTGGTTAGAGCGCCTGCCTTCCGATCCACCCATCCGTGGCAAGGTGGGTTCGAGTCGCTTTAGGGCGCTTGCTATTTGCCCTTGACAGGTATGGCCTGCGGCCGGTGGCAGCAGTCGCGCTAAAGGTCAGTTGACGTCAAAGGGCAGGACGGACCGTGCCGAGCATTGCGGCACGTTGAACTTTCGTCACTAAATTCTGCCGTTGCCTGGAATTGCGCTATCGGATGGTGGTGGTCAGGGCTCACACAACAAGCACTGCTTAGCGTAAGCGC